CAAAAAAAGTATGGAGGGTATATTAATCTCGTCATTCCGTTTGTAACTCATCGAAATAATCATTTTAGACCCAACAAAGTATATATATTCTTGATCAGCGTAAAATTCTAAGACGATTTAGCCCTGTCCGTCCGTCTGTCCGTCTGTTGTAATCACGCTACAGTCTAAACGAATTAAGATAGGAAGCTAAAATTTTGCACAGATCTCTCTTTTGTCTGCACGCAGGTCAAGTTCAAAGATGGGCTATATCGGTCCACGATATCGTATAGCCCCCATATAACGGTACCCCCGATATTCGGTATTTTGATGATGTTAGCCACATTTTTCAATGGAATTGTCTGAAAATCCACACAAGTAGTTCCTTGTGGGTACTTTATACCTCGGCAGACAATTATCTATATAGGTCCACAATATCGTACATCCCCCATAAAACGGTACAACGTACATCCCCCATATAACGGTACCCCCGATATTCGGTATTTTGATAATTTTACCCACATTTTTTAACGGAATTGTCTGAAAATCCACACAAGGAGTTCCTTGTGGGTACTTTATACCTTGGCAGAGAATTATCTATATAGGTCCACAATATCGTATAGCCCCCATGTAACGGTACCCCCGATATTCGGGATTTTGATGATTTTACCCACATTTTTCAACGGAATTGTCTGAAAATCCACACAAGGAGTTCCTTGTGGGTACTTTATACCTCGGCAGAGAATTGTCCATACAGGTCCACGATATCGTATAGCCCCCATGTAACGGTACCCCCACGGTATTCGGTATTTTGATGATTTTTGCCACATTTTTCAATGGAATTGTCTGAAAATCCACACAAGGAGTTCCTTGTGGGTACTTTATACCTCGGCAGATAATTATCTATATAGATCCACGATATCGTATAGCCCTCATATAACGGTACCCCCCATATTCGATATTTTCATGTTTTTAGCCATATTTTTCAACGGAATGGTCACAAGGGGTTCTTTGTACACAAGGGGTTCTTTGTGAGCCCTTTAACCCCCGACAGAGAATTCTCTATATAGGTTAACGATAACGTATAGCTCCCATATAACGGTACCCCGCGATATTCGGTATTTTGATGATTTTAGCCACATTTTCCAATCGTATTGTCTGAAAATCCACACACGGAATTCTTTGTGAGCACTTTACCCCTGAAACGGAATTGTCTATATAGGTCCACAATATCGTATATCCCCCATATAACGGTACTCCCCTATATTCGGTATTTTGATGATTTTAGCCACTTTTTCCAATGGAATCATCTGAAAATCCATACAAGGTGTTCCTTGTGAGTACTTTACACGCAGACATAGATTTGTCTTTATAGATTCACAATATCGTATATCCCCCCATATATCGGCACATTCCTATATTAGATATTTTAAAGATTTTAAAAGAATTTTTATTGGATTTATTTTTTTTTTTGAAAATTTTCTAATTCGTTCCAAATGGTGGAGGGTATTCAAAGTTCGGCCCGGCCGAACTTACTGCTTTTTTACCGGTTATATCACAAAGCGCTATCTATACTTCATGTTCGTACACTCTACTCAGTATTGCAAATGTTCACACGTATTAATTTCTCAAGCATGCATTGTGATCCACCCTCAAGCAGCTATTTTCAATAGCCTATAGAATAACATATGGCAACACCTACAACAGCTGTTAATTCCATTTGCTTTATTGCCATTCTAAACAATTGTTTTTGTCTCCTATTTACATTTTCGTAACAATCGGTGATTTATTTACTTATACATTGTAAAGTATCAAACTCATCGTGGGTATTTTTTTTTGTTGTGTCGTCCATTCTAAGATAACCATTGAGCCTTTGGAGGAACAATGATAGCGTGAATATAACAGACAGAGAGATAGACAGATGGACATCTCAAAATCATGTTAGAATTTTACGCTGATCCAGAATATATATACTTTGCAGGGTCTATCACGGGTATATTTTTTCCAAAAACTGTAAATACCGTCAAACCGCCAATGAAACGAATGCTGCCAATGCCGGATGTTGCCCTGCGGTATTTTGGTCCATTCCCGGCGAAGCGCTTGCTTGAGGTGATCAACACTTCGGTATTTTTTAGTGCCAAACTTGCTTTCTAAAATACTCCACACACAATAGTCCAACGGATTGGTATCCGGAGATTCTTGTGGCCGTTGTTCGCTGGAAATGAAGCAAGGAACCTCATTTTGTGAACATTCTTGGGTGGCGCGTGCTGAGTGCGATGGTGCTGAGTCCTGTTGGAATGTCCAAGGTCTGTGGGCAAAATGTTTGCGTGCCCAAGGCTTTAATACCCCCTCCAGAATATTTTCGCGATAATAATTGCCATTTATTCTGATGTCACGGTCGATTAATACGAGCGGAGAGCGTCCATCACAATGGCCGGCGCTTGAATTCTGGTGGCCAACCGAAGGTGCACATTTTCAGCTGACATCTTGGCAAGTAAACACGGTCATTTAGTTTGTTTACAAACTGCTGGACAACGAATGTTTTCTCATTGGAGAAAACCACGTTCGGCAGTTCAACACTTTCAGTCAAGCGAAGCAACTCTTTTGAGTCTATTTTCTTTCTGTTGCGGGGTAAGTTCTTGCACTTTTAGCAATTTCAATAGCTTTACCCCGAGCTCATTTTTCAATATATGCCGAATGGAATATTGCGATATTTTCAGCTCACGAGCCATTTTTCGGCCACTGCGACGCGGGTTTCCATCAAGTCGCTTCTTTACTTTTCGAACCACTTCTGCTGATGTTGCTCTTTTCTTCCGTCCACTTCCTTGACGTCGGTCTACGCTACCAGTATCATTGTAAAGAGCGATGGTTCCAGACACAAAAAATTCACATTTAAATGCTGAAGTGCTCTAACTATAGCCACTTGTGGTTTTCCAAATATAAAGAAATCACACTATCCGCTTGAACTCCATCACGAATAACTTTCCTTTTGGAAAATTGTAACCAAAATGGTTTTGTACGTTTGTAAAAAATATAATGAACTGTCACTAGAATAATTTTAACAGCTGTCGGACGAGTGGGTTAGTAATGGCAGCAGTCTGAAGTTGGTTGCAGTTTTTTTATCTCACCCTGTATATATATTGTTGTCATTTTTTGGTATCTCCCTATAAACGTTAACGAGCCTTTTGACACTATTTTTCTAAATGTCATGATACCCCTCTGAAATGTGTTTATTTTTTATACCCTCCACCAAAAAAAGTATGGAGGGTATATTAATCTCGTCATTCCGTTTGTAACTCATCGAAATAATCATTTTAGACCCAACAAAGTATATATATTCTTGATCAGCGTAAAATTCTAAGACGATTTAGCCCTGTCCGTCCGTCTGTCCGTCTGTTGTAATCACGCTACAGTCTAAACGAATTAAGATAGGAAGCTAAAATTTTGCACAGATCTCTCTTTTGTCTGCACGCAGGTCAAGTTCAAAGATGGGCTATATCGGTCCACGATATCGTATAGCCCCCATATAACGGTACCCCCGATATTCGGTATTTTGATGATGTTAGCCACATTTTTCAATGGAATTGTCTGAAAATCCACACAAGTAGTTCCTTGTGGGTACTTTATACCTCGGCAGACAATTATCTATATAGGTCCACAATATCGTACATCCCCCATAAAACGGTACAACGTACATCCCCCATATAACGGTACCCCCGATATTCGGTATTTTGATAATTTTACCCACATTTTTTAACGGAATTGTCTGAAAATCCACACAAGGAGTTCCTTGTGGGTACTTTATACCTTGGCAGAGAATTATCTATATAGGTCCACAATATCGTATAGCCCCCATGTAACGGTACCCCCGATATTCGGGATTTTGATGATTTTACCCACATTTTTCAACGGAATTGTCTGAAAATCCACACAAGGAGTTCCTTGTGGGTACTTTATACCTCGGCAGAGAATTGTCCATACAGGTCCACGATATCGTATAGCCCCCATGTAACGGTACCCCCACGGTATTCGGTATTTTGATGATTTTTGCCACATTTTTCAATGGAATTGTCTGAAAATCCACACAAGGAGTTCCTTGTGGGTACTTTATACCTCGGCAGATAATTATCTATATAGATCCACGATATCGTATAGCCCTCATATAACGGTACCCCCCATATTCGATATTTTCATGTTTTTAGCCATATTTTTCAACGGAATGGTCACAAGGGGTTCTTTGTACACAAGGGGTTCTTTGTGAGCCCTTTAACCCCCGACAGAGAATTCTCTATATAGGTTAACGATAACGTATAGCTCCCATATAACGGTACCCCGCGATATTCGGTATTTTGATGATTTTAGCCACATTTTCCAATCGTATTGTCTGAAAATCCACACACGGAATTCTTTGTGAGCACTTTACCCCTGAAACGGAATTGTCTATATAGGTCCACAATATCGTATATCCCCCATATAACGGTACTCCCCTATATTCGGTATTTTGATGATTTTAGCCACTTTTTCCAATGGAATCATCTGAAAATCCATACAAGGTGTTCCTTGTGAGTACTTTACACGCAGACATAGATTTGTCTTTATAGATTCACAATATCGTATATCCCCCCATATATCGGCACATTCCTATATTAGATATTTTAAAGATTTTAAAAGAATTTTTATTGGATTTATTTTTTTTTTTGAAAATTTTCTAATTCGTTCCAAATGGTGGAGGGTATTCAAAGTTCGGCCCGGCCGAACTTACTGCTTTTTTACCGGTTATATCACAAAGCGCTATCTATACTTCATGTTCGTACACTCTACTCAGTATTGCAAATGTTCACACGTATTAATTTCTCAAGCATGCATTGTGATCCACCCTCAAGCAGCTATTTTCAATAGCCTATAGAATAACATATGGCAACACCTACAACAGCTGTTAATTCCATTTGCTTTATTGCCATTCTAAACAATTGTTTTTGTCTCCTATTTACATTTTCGTAACAATCGGTGATTTATTTACTTATACATTGTAAAGTATCAAACTCATCGTGGGTATTTTTTTTTGTTGTGTCGTCCATTCTAAGATAACCATTGAGCCTTTGGAGGAACAATGAATAAAGCCATACAACTACCAATTAATAAAAACAATCCAATTGTTTATTTGGACATTGTAATTGACCACGAATTTGGTAAGCATAATGTGCACAATTATCTTTGATAGAAAGTAAAATGTTGTCTTTCACAGCTGGACGAATGGTCATTGAGCTACGCAAAGATGTAGTACCCAAAACGGCAGAGAACTTCCGAGCACTCTGTACTGGAGAAAAAGGAATTGGTGCAATGGGAAAACCTTTGCATTACAAAGGCATAAGATTCCATAAAGTGACCAGGGTGTATGTGGCACAAAGTGGTGATGTGGTCAACAATGATGGAACTAGTGGTGAAAGCATTTATGGACCTACATTTGAAGATGAAAATTTTATATTGGATGTAAGTCTGAAGATTGTGTGAAATGCCATTCACTTAAATTAGAGCAGATATTTATTAGTAGAAAGCAATTAAAAACCGACAACTAACTAACCAAACTATTTCGTCAGATATTGCCTATTTGGTGTAAAATTATGTACTGGAGTTATATCCAAATTTGAACCGATTACCACCAATATCTATAGTATTCATGTATCTCGACTTCTTTTGAATGCTACAAAGAAATGCGTAGGGCATGAGTACCTATATAAGTTGTTAATTAGGTAATAAACTGTCATTAGTTCTTCAGATATTAAATAATCGGATAGTGCAGTAAAATAATTCCAAAACCTGTTTTGTAATCGGTTCAGATTTGGATAAAGCTCTCATATATTTTTTCGGTCGATTTCACATATGTATGTCTGATTCCAATGAAATTCGAAATGAGTGACGGTATTTGGTACAAAAATAAATTTGTAAAATTTAATATAATCGGTTCAGATTTGGATATAGCTCCTATATATATTTTCGGCAGATTTCACATATCTGATGCACCAAACACGATATGTATGTCCCATTCCAATGGAATTCGGAATGGTACAAAAAAAAATTTGGTACAAAAATAAATTCGCCTAATTATATAGAAATCGGTTCAGATTTGGGTATAGCTCCCATATACATTACCGGCCGAATTCATGTATTTGATGCACTAAACACGCTATGTGTCTCCTATTTCAATGAAATTTCGATTGTATAACGGAATCCGAAACAAACATAAATTTGCCAAATTATATTGAAATCGATTTGGATATATCTACCATGGTACAATAAGGAGGTAGAACAGCTTCGCAAAACTAAAGAAACAATAAATACATACACAAAATTGGCAGAAGTCGGGCACACTTAAAAAAAATGTAATTAGCTGGTAGCTTTACCTTACCTTTTTGTTGTACCATGATATCTCCCATATATTTTTTCGACAGATTTCTTGTATTTCATGTACTTAGAATCCCTCCAATAGCAACAAAAATCCCGTTTAACTTGAAAAGATTGCAGTATCCAGTACGGTTGGCATTTGATATGACAATTAATGAATTCCAAAGACTTACTCTTCCTGTTTGCGACTAAATTTGGCATGTTCCAGCTTTTCTCATGGTCAGCTGTATGTGGAATATTCACGTGAGGGTAGAACTATCGATATGTTTGTTTATGCTTCTAAAGGAAAAAATATTATATATCCTTGAATTTGTTTTATTTTTATTTAAAATCCACAAAATATTTGTACATAAAATTTTGAATTCATATAAAAGCAAGAGGTGTAACGAATCGCTTCGGTTTCAGCTAAGATAATACATATTCATAGAATTATAATAATAATTGTTTAACTAAAATTTTTTTATACTAACGATTATTATCCCAGCCCATTCTGTAGCAAAATTGGTGCGACCTGTAACATTATGTTCATACAATAACATTTTTAATTGTATATCTTAGCATTCTGATGAGGGTGTTGTTAGTATGGCTAATTTTGGAAAACCGAATACAAATAATTCCCAATTTTTCATTACTTCAATGGCCTGTGACAATCTAAATGGCTCAAATGTTGTAGTGGGAAAAGTCTTAAGAGGCTTGGGTATTATCGGAGAAATGGATCAAAACACAAGCGATGAGGGTATACCGACATCGGTACGTAAGTTCATGTGCTCAGAAGTAATTAAACTAGATACTAAAATTGGTAACAATTCTAGGAAATTGTCATAGCGGATTGTGGTGAAATAAAACCAGGAGAAAATTGGGGCGTCAATGACAATGATGAAACCAATGAATGTTTACCTCCGTTTCCTCAAGATTGGGAAGAGAAATTTAATGAATTTACGGTAAGATTTAATATATAGTTTTTTTAATTATATTCCTTTATTTTTAATTTAATAGTCAGATGAACTTGTGGAAATATTGACAAAAATCCGCTGTGCCGGCAATTATTTCTTTGAAAAAAATGAATTCTATAATGCTCGTCGAAAATATCGCAAAGCAAATCGTTATTATAATCTATTGCGTAAACGTTATGACTGGCAAGAATTGCAACATCTCAAATGTTCCGATGAAGATCTTAAGAAGTTAGATAGCTTTTCTGCTGTAAATCAACTCAATATGGCTGCTGTTGAACTCAAGCTGAAGAACTACACAAATGCTCATTTTTGCTGTCGTGAAGTTTTACGTTTAAATCCGTCATGTGGCAAAGCCTATTATCGACTTGGTCAAGCGCAAATTGGACTTAAGAATTACGAAGAAGCTATAGAAAACCTAAGGAAGGCACATGACATGATACCAGAAAACAAAATAATATTAGCCGAATTGAATCGTGCCAAACAATTGATGGCAAATTACAACCGTTCACAGATGGTGAATTTAAAGAAATTGTTTAATTAGTAATTAAGCTTTACGTACATACGATGTGAATTCCCGTGCGCAAAAAAATAATTGTAAAAATGTTAAAAACTAGTTGAACAACGTAACAAGTATATATTTATTTCAGGGATGATTAAATGTAAAAAACTAAACCAATTCTTATATAAATGCGTAAAAATGTCCAGTGTTCTAAATGTGTTCCAACTCTTGATATTAAGTTGAATCAATGTTAAATTTTTTATTTCTTAAATACATAATTGTGAATATATATTTAGTGAAATTATTTTATAGCACATGTGTACTAGTCCATTTGACGAAGGAAATAAAATACGTTTAAATAAGTTGTCTGTGCAGCATATTTTGTAAACATTGTTGAAAATTACAGAACTAGTAGTTTCTCGCAAAGGCAAAAAGGAGTGCCTTTGCGTACGATTTTATTTAGCAAAACATGTAACATGTATTTATTTCAATGAATGTTTTCCAATGTTTTAATAATAGAATTCAGAAGATACTAATATATGAGAGGTGTATCCTACTCTGAATTGATTTCTGCCAAAATTGACAGAGGCACTTGTACCTTTCGTATCTAATATCATTGTTATTAATGCACAATACGATTCGAAGATGGCTTAAATTAAAAAAAAATTGTCGGATTTGTAGATACATCGAACCAGATTTTCAAATTTGTCGTATTTGCTTCTTGGATATATTCGGTCGTTCGTGTCGAAATCCATCCTATTTAAGCTAATATGGCGTACATTGAAATTGAAACAAATGATTTGTGGAAAATTCGACTCTAAATGTGATTCCATAAAGATCTGTATACGACAGAAAATTGTCCACGGTTCGTTATTTTGGAGATTTAAGCGACATTATTCAGCGGAAATTTTTCAATTTGCGTATTTGTAGTTCATATTGGGCACTACATCCTATGACATATGCAATTATGTCATATCAATTTGACATATGCAATTATGTTATATCAGCGGAAATTTTTCAATTTGCGTATTTGTAGTTCATATTGGGCACTACATCCTATGACATATGCAATTATGTAAGTCCAAGTCATCGTATAACCTCCATATAACGGTACCTCCCTATATTCTGTATTTGTATGATTTTAGCGACATTATTCACCGGATCTATTTCAAATGTCGTATTTGAAGTTCTTAATGGGTACTGCAGCATATGAAAGAAACTTGCATATGTAGGTCCATGTCTTCGTATTTTGAGGATTTACGCGAAATTATTCACCGAAATTGTTTCAAATTTCGTATTTGAAGATCTTAATGGGTACTACAGTATGTGATGATTTACCGACATTATTCACCGCAATTATTTTAAATTTAGTATTTGAAGTGTCCAAAGAGGTCCAGGTCTTCGTATAGCCTCTATATATCGGTATCTCCCTATATTCGTAATTCTAATGATTTTAGCTGCATTATTCGTATTTGCCTGTGACAGAAAAGGCCTATGCAGGTCCACGTCTTCGTATGGACCCCAAAATAACGGTAACTCCCTAAATTCAATATTTTTAAGATTTTAACAAAACTTTTAACGGATTATTTTTTTATAAAAAAAATATATTTTTTTTCTGCACATACAGAAAAAGGTTAATCCGATCTTGCTCCAACTTTGCAAATCCTAAAATTTGCATCAGTGCTAGGTCAGGTGCAAAATCACAGACTATATCGGTCCACTCTATCAAAATTTTTCATAACTTACGAAACAAATCAGCCATATACCATTCAAACATGGTATATCTTAATATTTCCCTCAATGTGAATGAATTTTTCTGTCCACTCCCTCCGATACCGCCACCCCCCACAAAAAGTTAAAATTTCGATTTACAATTATTCGCATAAAAATGGTCGTAGTATTTTCATTATTATTAGATATATTTCATATATTTCATTATTATATCTGGCACCTCATGCACCTTTCAACATTCTCTAAAAATGATCACATATCTTATATCAAGTGATATAGTCCAAATATGGCACGTTGTAATATTTATATAAGACCTATATCAGAGAGGTGTTGGATAATATCGGTCAACTCCTTCGAAACCTCCCCCATAAAAGGCTCAATAAGATGAATAATAAATACGGATGCCAAAGTATGTTTAAATAAACGGACAGTTGCTGAGGGTATACATCCGTCGGCAAAAACCGACTGATATTTTTTAAATTGTTTATTTATTTATTTTTTTTTTTAATTTCTAAAGCCGTTCCAAATGGTGGAGGGTATTCAAAGTTCGTCCTGGCAGAACTTATTGCTTTTTAACATGTTTTATATATTATATATAAAATTATATATTCGTAATCACTGTTTCCTGTCTTATTGAACTGTGTCTATGGGTCAGTGTGTTTTAACTGTTGCATATTGTAATTTGTTTGTTTGTGGTGTTCATTGTTTAAATTCCCCCATGGAACCAAGTGCCTGGAGATTGCTTTAAAATTCGTGTGGCTGTTAATTAAATTTACCTGCTTTGTAATGAAATGACACTCTGCGCAAAATCTCTGTCACAATGTTTATGAATGAATATTTTACTAGGGACACTGTATGAATGTATAGCTGCCCGCTAGCAATGTGGACTAGTTCGGCACCGTATACTCGTCGATTCTTAGGATTACAGTAACTAGTTCCACTTAAGACCCCTCACAGTGCAAACAACTGTAAACTTTAACATGGGGATGTCATACGAGGTAACCAATTGACTCCTTTTGCATTACCTGTAGATGGTATTGTACCAGTTCCAGGTTTACAGTCATATACCAGAGACAAAAGACTAACCCCTAACTATTCAAAGTGATTCTTGTTCGTAGAGATCTCATTCAAATGTTCGTTTAACTTGTCTGTTGGTTGGTTTTTTGGTGGTGGTTTTTTATTTATGCACAACTGTCGCCTCTTCGTTTACTTGGGGACGAAAAGGTGTCAATTGGTTCCATTCGCATTACTTGGGGACACATTTGGTACTAGTACGGCTTATAACTAGTACAAGACTGACGAAATTTAGTTAATTGGAATTTTCATTGCTAGCGGGTGGCTAGAATGTGGAGCAAAACATTCACTTTTTGCTCTTCTCTTTGCAGAGAGAAAATGTGAAGAGAAAATACTCTATGAGAGTCAATGAATTGGTGCATGGGTTGAACGGCTTTAAAACGAATTACATTTGGACGTTTTTATTCAGTTGACGCTTAACCAAAGCAGGATACCACAACAAATGTATATATGCGCCATCTTATATATTGAAGGATGAGTATTTGACGACAAATTATACTAAGAAAAAATACTATCTAAATTAAGATAGTTATTGAATTTACTTAAAAACAAGAAAAGGCTACGATAAGCTTGGCTGACCGGAACTTTTTAGTGAAAACTTGCTTTATGATAAAATAGATTACCCTCAACATCATTAAAAATTTGAAGTTCCGTTTCACTGAATATTTTTAATTTAACTACTCATAGAGAACCCGAAATGTCAAATGACAGCTGTTCTTTTTCGAACTTTGGGACCAAATCCTTCAAAATGCCGAAAAGGACAAAGGAAGATTTAAACTACCTAATAATGCACGAAATATTAAATTACAGCTGAGAACTGTGGCTGAACCCTTTAAATTATCGTAAATTAGGAGGTAATGTTAAATTGGTAAAATATTAGAAAATAACCTTCATTAAATATTTTTCGGATATGTTAAACTTTCCACCGAAAACCCAAAATATCAAATTAAAGCATATTTGTTTGGATATTCTGGCCAAAACCTTTAAACTACCAAAAATCAGGAGGTACCCTAATATGAAGGTCATTGAAAATTTTTCAGCGAGGTTTACATGAGAAATGTCAAATTACAGTTTATTTAATATAATTGATATAGTCCAATTTTGAAAGGACACATCTTAGAAGTATTACAAATATATATTCCATATTTTATTAATTAATTGTAACATGTATAATCGATTTAGTTTATTAAGAACGTGCCTTAACTATACTCTTGAAATAGAGCTGAGGAATAATTTCACATTTTATGAGAGTTATGAATATTAAAAATTTTGATCCTATGTGACATTATCACAAACCAAGTTTGGACTACATTGAGTCCTCGCTTAGTTTTATGCTAGCCCACTACTTCGTCAGCAAAAAGTCCACCCTAAAATTGTAGATTCGTTCCAACAGTTCTTGTTAGTTAAATTTGTTGAATATGACAACATTTTTTTGATCAAAACTTCATAAATCGTACAAAATTTTTTTACTTTCAAGGTTTTATATGTTATTCAAGTTTTTTCCTTTTCCGAAAAAAGAATAATAGTAAAATGTTTACATTTAACACCAAAAAGCATTTAAAATGTTTAATTTTGAAGTTACAGAGGAGGATTGAGCTGATATTCTGAAATTTGATGATATATAGAGTCGTTGAAATAGTTTTGAACAGAAAAATCGAATGTGCATTGGCATTCGATTTTTTCTGTTCAAAACTATTTCAACTTCTCCATATATAACATCAAATTTCAGAATTCCAGTTCAATTCCAAATTTAGTACCACTTAATACTTTTCGTACAAATATAGGACGTATTTACAACACCACCACCAAACCTCAAACACAGATACCTTAAGTAATCTAAATAATAAATTTCCGAATTGTATCTCCATCCATTCACCAAGTACGAAATAAAGTACCATTCAGTTCTTTTCGTACAATTATAACACAGATTTTGGGAATCAACACCATGCGACCGGGCTACACATCCAGAGAAAATATGTTAAGTTATACCACCCAGGAAGCTCCTTCATCTTTCTAGCCGGTCCCTCTCTCAAACTTCCTTTGTCTACAGGTTTCAATTTCTAGGCTGAAACCTCTTAGTGTATCATCTTCTTTCTGTGGCCAAAGATGTCATCCTTCTCTGGCAGCGCCATCTTGCAGAACTTGGACAGTATATCGTTCCAGCGTTCATAATTTTCTGTATTTTGTACTTGTATTTGTTTTCTTCCCCGAGTACTTCAACTTTAGTGATGGGGTCTTGTGCTCCAAATCTTTCATCTTTGCTGATTGGTTTTGCCTTATTTTCTGCCTCATGCATAGCCGACTAAGTTTCCACGGCTACACACAGAACATTCTTGACTTTAGAGATAGAGAGAGAGAGAAAGAGAGAGAGAGGGAGAGATAAAGAGAGGGAATAGTAAACCAGAGAAAAATTAAAGGTAAATATTATATTAGTTTTCATCAAATTTCATAATTTTCAGTACAAATTTCAAAAAAATAACCTAATTAAAATTCACGAAAAACTTTCTGCAATTTCCCTAAAATTGAACGATAATTCTTCAGAAAATTCAAAGAATTC